AACTCATTAGCAAAATCATAATCGTCTGATCTTAAAATGGTCAGTTTTATACCTTAAAATTACGAACTTAGATCTCATGTCAAAAGATTCTTCCTCTGGGTAATGGAAAATTTATGGTACACTCGATTAGGGTAGACTTTGTAGTTATTCAATCCAAAATTAATATATATGGTGTTATCCTGGTGCAGTTGCTGACACCTGTAATCCCAACACTATGAAAGGCTGAGTTGGTACCAGTACCATGCTGTTTTGGTTACTGTAGCCTTGTAAAGAAAATTATGGTTGGAAGTCAGGTAGCGTGATGCCTCCAGCTTTGTTCTTTTGACTTAGGATTGTCTTGACAATGCAGGCTCTTTTGGTTCCATATGAACTTTAAAGGCAGTTCTTTCCAATTCTGTGAAGAAACTCATTGGTAACCAGTGGGGATGGCATTGAATCTATAATTACCTTGGGCAGTATGGCCATTTTCACGATATTGATTCTTCCTATCCATGAGCATGGTATGTTCTTCCATTTGTTTGTGTCCTCTTTTATTTCACTGAGCAGTGGTTTGTAGTTCTCCTTGAAGAGGTCCTTTACATCCCTAGTAAGTTGGATTCCTAGGTATTTCATTCTCTTTGAAGCAGTTGTGAATGGAAGTTCGTTCATGATTTGGCTTTCTGTTTGTCTGTTACTGGTGTATAAGAATGCTTGTGATTTTTTGCACATTAATTTTGTATCCTGAGACTTTGCTGGGGATTCCTTATCAACAGAGATTTTGGAGCTGAGAAGATGAGGTTTTCTAAATATACAATCATATCATCTGCAAACAGGGACAATTTGACTTCTTCTTTTCCTAACTGAATACCTTTATTTCTTTCTCTTGCCTGATTGCCTAGCCAGAACTTCAACACTATGTTGAATAAAGTGGTAGAGATGGCATCTGTCTTGTGCCAGTTTTCAAGGAAATTTTCCAGTTTTGCCCATTCAGTATAATGATATTGACTGTGGAGTTTTATGCAAATAGCTCTTATTATTTTGAGGTATGTTCCATCAATACCGGATTTGACAGGCATTTTAGCATGAAGGAGCTGTTGAATTTTGTCAAAAGCCTTTTCTGCATCTATTGAGATAATGATGTGGTTTTGTCTTTGGTTCTGTTTATATGCTGGATTACGTTTATTGATTTGCGTATGTTGAACCAGCCTTGCATCCCAGGATGAAGCCCACTTGATCATGGTGGATAAGCTTTTTGATGTGCTGCTGGATCAGTTTGCCCAGTATTTTGTGGGGATTTTTGCATCAATGTTCATCAGGGATATTGGTCTAAAATTCTCTTTTTTTTAATGTCTCTGCCAGGCTTTGGTATCAGGATGATGTTGGCCTCATAAAATGAGTTGGGAGGATTCCCTCTTTTCTATTACTTGGAATAGTTTCCAGAGGAATGGTACCAGCTCCTCCTTGTAACTCTGGTAGAAATTCAGCTGTGAATCCATCTGGTCTGGACTTTTTTTGGTTAGTAGGCTATTAATTATTGCCTCAATTTCAGAACCTGCTATTGGTCTATTCAGGAATTCAACTTCTTCCTGGTTTAGTCTTGGGAGAGTGTAAATTGTCCAGCATGGTACTGGTACCAAAACAGAGATAAAGACCAATGGAGACAGAACAGAGCCCTCAGAAATAATACCACACATCTACAGCCATCTGATCTTTGACAACCTCAGAAAAACAAGAAATGGGGAAAGGATTCCTATTTAATAAATGGTGCTGGGAAAATTGGCCAGCCATAAGTAAACTGAAACTGGATCCTTTCCTTACTCCATATACGAAAATTAATTCAAGATGGATTAGAGACTTAAATGTTAGACCTAATGCCATAAAAGCCCTAGAAGAAAACCTAGGTAATACCATTCAGGACATAGGCATGGGCAAGGTCTTCATATCTAAAACACCAAAAGCAACGGCAACAAAAGCCAAAATTGACAAATGGGATCTAATTAAACTAAAGAGCTTCTGCACAGCAAAAGAAACTGCCATCAGAATGAACAGGCAACCTACAGAATGGGAGAAAATTTTTGCAATCTACTCATCTGACAAAGGTAATATCCAGAACCTACAAAAGGAATACTCAAAAAAAAGTGTAGTTTAACAGAAATGCCCCATCAAAAAGTGGGCAAAGGATATGAACAGACATTTCTCAAAAGAAGACATTCATACAGCCAACAGACATATGAAAAAATGCTCATCATCACTGGCCATCAGAGAAATGCAAATCAAAACCACAATGAGATACCATTTCACACCAGTTAGAATGCTTAATCATTAAAAAGTCAGGAAACAACAGGTGCTGGAGGACATGGAGAAATAGGAACACTTTTTACACTGTTGGTGGGATTGTAAACTAGTTCAACCATTATGGAAAACAGTATGGCGATTCCTCAAGGATCTAGAACTGGAAGTACCATATGACCCAGCCATCCCATTACTGGGTATATACCCAAAGGATTATAAATCATGCTGCTATAAAGACACATGCACACGTATGTTTATTGCGGCACTATTCACAATAGCAAAGACTTAGAATCAACCCAGATGTCCATCAGTGACGGAGCTGGATTAAGAAAATGTGGCACATATACACCATGGAATACTATGCAGCCATGAAAAAGGATGAGTTTGTGTCCTTTGTAGGGACATGGATGCAGCTGGAAACCATCATTCTCAGCAAACTATCGCAAGAACAGAAAACCAAACACACTTGTTCTTACTCATAGGTCAGGAACTGAACAATGAGATCATTTGAACTTCGGGAAGGGAACATCATACACGGGACCTATCATGGGGAGGGAGGGGAGGATTGCATTGGGAGTTATACCTGATGTAAATGACGAGTTGATGGTTGCTGACGAGTTGATGGGCGCAGCACGCCAACATGGCACAAGTATACATATGTAACAAACCTGCACGTTAGGCACATGTACCCTAGAACTTAAAGTATAATAATAAATTTAAAAAAATAAAATAAAAAGAAAAAAGGCTGGGTTGGGTGGATCATCTGAGGTCAGGAGTTTGAGACAAGCTGACCAATGTGATGGAAACCCCGTCTTCACTAAAAATACAAAAATTGGCCAGATGTGGTGGCATGTGCCTGTAGTCCCAGCTACTCTGGAGGCTGAGGCAAGAGAATTGCTTGAACCAGAGGTGGACGTTGCAATGAGCTGAGATCGTGCAATTGAACTCCAGCCTGGGTGACAGAGTGAGACTCCATCTCAAATATATATATATATATATGTATATATATATGTGGTTCTAGATTTACTTAGTAGATGTTATTAAAACTGTCATCAGTTGACTCTAGGTTAGGTAGATTGTCAATGATAAAATGAGTGGACCAGATTCCGCCGAACAGAACTGGATAAAATTAAATTCCATGGTAATTCGGCAGCTTCACCTCTCTCTCTGGGACTTCCAGCCTGCACTTGTTATAGATGATCTTATGGACATTGGATATTCCTAGACATCTCCACAGTCTGTTATCCTCTACGTCTCACAGAAATGTGGCATGTCCACCTGTAGCTTTATCCCAACCTGAATAACAGACATAAAGAGATTTTAAAATGTGATAACATTTATTCTAGGATGTGCATTGCAATGGAAATATGTATGGGTGCATTCAGGTTTTTAAAGGAAGATAAAGAATTAAGGAAAAATGAGGAGAGTTACATCAGCTGTTTTGAGACAATTATCCTGGGCTAGAAGGATCAATAACAGGGGTAACATCAGTGTGAGGTTGAACAAGCAGTTGCTGGGCAGATATACTTGGAGAAGTAATTCTTTTAAGGTTGTGATGGCTTTTGTGCAAGGTTGTGGCTGTGCAGAGTCTATGATAGTTCTTGTTATCAGGAACATGTGTTAGAACCCTCATGTAGCCTTCCCCAGCTTCGTTCATTAGGGTTTTAACACAAGTGGCTCCATCTTGATGCTAATAAATTTCCCAAGCTCTTTCTAACACTACTTCGAAGCAGATGACTCTGACGGCTTGAACAGGAGTTAATTCCCACATCCCACATCCCATTTTGATAAAATAAGTTTATCCCCTTCACTATTATCGGCCAACTGCATTTGCAGATGAGTCACACACACAACACAGTGGAGGGTCCTGGTAGATGGGGAGGGAAGGGGGGAGTCCCATCAGCCTCTCCCACGTGGCTGCAGGAGCCACAGGCTGAGCCCCACCTGAGCTCCAAGAAAATGCCTTGAGCCCTGGAAGGTAGACCACGGGAGGCCATCTGTTTCTTTCCAGGAAGCAGGAAAAGCAAATAAAAGGAGAACAGACACTCCAAAGAAAGAACATGGATTGGGAGCGAGAAGGAGCACCGGAGTCAGTGCTGGCTGACTGGCTTTAGTGTCAGGAGAAGGAGTCAGACAAAGAGGCCATAGCGAGCTTCTACCTTGACACCTGACCTGGCCCAGCCTCTCTGTTGGCTGTGATCGGAGTCCCTGAGACTGTTCTAGTCCTGGAATCTCCACAAGGGTTTCTGTCACGTAGGTCTGATTGGAGATGACTCACCAGGCACCCACGTGAGCTTCCTCCAGGACTCTGATCTTGGTGGCCATAGTGAGGCCTTTTCATCTCAGTAAACGTCAATCTGCATTTGGTGCATGTGAGAATAGGTCCTCATATTAAAATACTTTTAAATAAAAAAAAAAAAAAAAATTAAGTCATCTTGTCAGTACCACATTAAAACAAGATTACAATGTTTAAAAAAATCTATATATATATGTAGAGATGACATTAGGAAGCACAGAATTCTAAACTTAGAGAGGTTCACTGGAGAAACCGTGAGGAGAAGACAAGGTCCCACATCCTGACAGGAAATCAGCCTCTATAGCACCTGCCTCTGGGGCTGACCCTGATCAGTGGGTCACAGGCATAACCCCCTGCAGCTGATTTCCCTGAACGTTTCTGCAGGGAGGGATTTGTGTCTGGGCTCACACTCACCTCCCCTCTCACTGTGTGTCTCGCACAGTGGCCACCAACCGTGTCCTCGCTCTCAGGCTGTCATTTGCAGATACAGTGTGTTCTTGGCGTTGTCTCTGGAGATGGTGAATCGGCCCTTGACAGAGTCTGGGTACAATGTGGTACTACCGCTACCACTGCTAATACTTAGACCCACTCAGCCTTCCCTGGGCAAGCGGACCAGTCCATGTAGTGGTCACTGAGAGGTGAATCAGAGGCTGCACAGGAGAGTCTCAGGGACCCCCAGGCATGCCAAGCCTCCCCCAGACTCCACCAGCTGCACCTCACACTGGACACCTGCAAACAAGAAGAAACCCCAGTCAGAAACTTCCAAATTTATCCACTGTTTATCTCATACATCCCTCACACCAATTTCAATAGTTCTCAATGAATTACCTTTTAAAATAGCAACAAGAAAAACCCAGCTCAGCCCAAACTCCATGGTAAGTCCTCTGTATTCCGTCCTGATCCACCAAATGAAAACACCTGAAAATGCCAGGTCTGGGCCTCCTCTCCCCAGGCTGCAGGGTCAGGCTATGAGCTGGTTTTCATCAGGTGAGAGGGCTCCATTTGCATGTCTCCTACTATTTAGCAAGCTCTGGGGTGAGAGGCCTGAGGAGAGAGTGGGGCTCAGAGCAGCATGAGAGTGTCCTGGGGAGATTTGTGATATTAGTATGATGGAAACTGTAGTTTCTTATTGAAAGTTTGTTCTGTGATAAAATATTAAAACCTATAAAACTTATAATTTTGTAATTTCTATTTTAAAACAGTGGTATTGGTCACAATCGATCTACTACATAAACTGTGTATATTAAGTTAGCACCAATCATCTTTTATTTTTACATATGCAGAGAAACATGGTATGTGAGTATCAATGTCATTTCCATGTTACAGATATAGAAAAATTCTAGCAAAAGCACAGATGGATTGTGCAATGTCCCCAGTGCTCACATTTGGTCAAGAGTGAGCCTGAGTATCACAGGCCTGTGCTTCTCACCACTGAACCTGGCTATCCCCTCAGACCAAACTTCTTCCCAGCACACAGGGGTCACAGCTGTTGAGGTTTGCAGAACCTCTTCTCTGTAATGAGAACACAGTGTGATGTGTATGCACTGTTGTGACTACCTAATAATTGTAAAGAAAAGCACATTTCCTACAGTTTTTATTTACATTTGGAGTATCACGCATTTTCTCATGTTAGTGTCTATCCATCAATCTTTATTGAACAAATTATCTATCCACTTGTTGCAATACTCGTATTGAGGCATTATTGCTGTGTAATAAATGTTGCTTAATAAAGTGTACATTTTAATAAACTCTGAAGTCGAGCATAGTCTTACATACCAGTAGTCCAGCTATGTGCGGCAGCGGGGAGGAGTTGGTGGAGACCCAGGGTCTGAGGCTGCTGAGAGCTATGATCTCACCGCTGAGTCAGCTTGGATGACAAAGCAGATCATGTCTCCAAAGGAAAAAATGCGAATTTCATGCTGCTCACACCTGTGCTTCCCAAATAACAAGAAAACGATGAGCTTCACACCTAAAAGTTCCCTGGTTTCAATTCCTGCCTCCCAGTCATTTTTCTCTCACCATGCAGGTCAATCTCTCATGTTTGTTACTTCTGATCTATTTTTCAAGATTTGGTTAAAGAGAAACCTTACAGTTTCCATTTTCATTTGTGTATGACTTCTTGCTCAGCATAATTGCCCCTTGAGTCAGTAATTTGGTTGTGTGTGAAAGAATGTGTTCATTGTAATGAGGGAACAGAATTCCAGTTAATAGACGTGCCTGCTATTGATAAAGCTCCTTAACATTTTTGTTATTTCCAGTTCCTGAGTGTTACAAATAAAGCTTCTACTCAGCCTGGAGATGCAGGCATCAGAGGAAAAAAAAAAATGTATTATTTTTACAACTAACCTTACTGAGCTGCAAGTTAGCACATTTTCTTTAAAACATCAGATTATTGATGTTATAGGATAAACAAGGGACCTCACATCTTGTGAAAGTCAGTGACCTGCAGGAACAAACAGGAAGAAGAATATGACCTCATCTGGGGCAGAGGCCAGCAAAATGTCATGTAAGTGAATGCAGGAGTTAGCAGACATATTCTTCCAGATTGTTTAGAGTTGAGTATAATAAAGAAGTTATTGTTTAAATTATCAGAGGACATACAACTGAGGGATTCCTATTGCTATTGAAACCAACTGCTGCCAGGACTGAGGACACATCACAAAAATCTCAGCCTCTCCCCTCCCAAGATGTTTCTGTGTGCGAAAGTGGAACAGCAGCTGTGGCTGAAATGCATCCAGACCCACCTCCCTGCCACCCAGGACCTTACCAAAGAATTAACATACGGGGGCAAAGCCACCCCTAACACCTCCGTGTTACAGGCACTGGTGGAACTCACTTGAAACTTTGGGACGGAAGGAAGAAAAGAGTTCGAAGCTCTGTCCATTCTCTCAGAATATTTAAATCTCATCTCCCATCTCCTCTCTCTTCCCTCTGGAAATACAGCCTCATCATGCTGGGAAGGGCAGAAAAGAGGGAGGCTGAAGACATCAGTGGGAAGACATAGTGGCTGCTGGAAGAAGATCTTGGAACAAACAAAGGAAGACCCTCTTACCCAGGAATGGGAAGATGCGTGGATCAGCATCACACCCACAGGAGAACAGGGATACTTGGAAGGACACACCCTGAGTCAGGACTCTGATGTCTGCCTGGAGTATGGCTCCTCAGAAGGACAGAAAGTGTCGTTCAGTGCAACCCTCCCACCACATTGACAATTGTCAGGTCCTTGTGGCTCTGGGATGACCTGGGGGATCTGAAACACAGAGTCTTTCCAGATGACACAAGATTAGAACCCAAAGCCAAGCGAAACAAAATTAAGTTTTCACTTGGAATCTGGGTGTCTGCAGAGAAACCCTGCAATTCAGCAGCCACTGCAATCAGGACTTTCAAATGTAGCCTACAGGTAGTTTCACACAATTTTCTACAATAAAGGCATAGAAAAGATAGGGACATAATCATCTACAAAGAAAAAAAAATCATTAAAACAAATTGTAGTCATTTACAAAAATGCAAAAATCATAAAACAAATAATTAGCTGACATAAGGAATCCGATAGCAGTATCATGGAACATAAATTTTGAAATAACTTTGCATAAATGCTTTGGAAACGTTTACACTTGATCCATAAGAAGGTCTCTGTGTAACTTCATAAAAGTGCCAACATGTATGCTTATTTTAGTAACTAATGTTTGTTAACATCATGCTTGTGGATGCAACAAAGACCACAGAGTAGGTTCTGTTAGAACTCTTAATAAAAAGCCAGAATTTACCAAAATATTTAAGAGAGATTTATTCTGAGCCAAATGTGAGGGCCATTCCCTGTGACACAGCCCCACAAGATCTTGAGAACATGTGCGCAACGTGGCTTGATTGCAGCTTCAATTTACTAACATCAATTGATACATGTGAGATATATGTTGACTTGGTCCATAAAGACAAAACTGCTAGAAGTGAGGCAGTGTGGGGAGGATTACAGCTTACAGTCAGTTCAAAGATTTTCTCATTGACAATTGATTGAAAGACTTAAGTTTTTATCTAAAGACCTGAAATCAGTATAACAAAGTGTCTGGGTTAAGATAATGGGTTTTGGAGAACAAGATTCTTATTACTGAAGAAGTCTCTTATGTAGCCACCCTTAGAGACAATAGATGGCAAATATTTTCTATTAAGACCTTTAAAAGATGCTGGACTCTTAGCTAATCCCTTCAGGATAACAAAAAGACCTCAGGATAACAAAAGACCTGGAAAGGGAAGGAGATTCTCTGCAGAATGTAAATTTCTCTCACAAAAGATAACTGTGCAGGGCGATTTTAAAATATGTCAAAGAAATACATTTTAGGGTAAAAGCCTTTGATTCATTTCAAGGCCTGCTCTCTGTCATGTGCTGCTATTCTTGAGTCAGGTTGGAATTTGGTATCTTCTACAAAGAATCTGTTTTCTGAGCCTTGAGTTCTCTGTTTTCATGAAAATGCTGGCTGGTGGTGCTTGAATTCCAAAGGGAGGAGTGCATGATGAGGCATTTCTGATTCTCTATTTCTAACATGACCTGAGCTAGTTTTTCAAGAGTCTCTGGAACTCCTTAGTGAAGAGAAAGGGTCCATCCAATCAATTGGGGCACTTAGAATTCTGCTTTTACTTCATAGGATGTATATGAGACTTCTCCTAGTCAGGGGTATGGGAAAAAAATTTACTGAGGCAATCACATTGAAGTTGAGACATGAAAGGTGTCTCAGATTCCTCCCTGTAAACCTTTTCTCCTGACAGTAGAAGAAGAAAACTTACTGGAAACAAATGTTAGCATTTCTTTTATGTTCAAAATCGTCACCCATTAGGAAAAGAGTTAAACTTGGGAGACTTCTCTTTAGACACAAGTAGTCTAGCTGATTTCTAAAGTCATTTACAAGCACAAAGATTCTGATTAGTTTAGAGATTATGCAGAACCTCCCATCTAATGGGAATCTGCACTTAGCTGGATCCCCATGCCTTGGTGTTTTTTTTTTAATGTTTAATTTATATAGATACGTAATAGTTCAAAACCTTTTTATGGTACATGTTATATTTTGATAAAAGAATATTATGTGCAGTGATCAAATCTGGATAACTGGGATATCCTTCATATCAATCATTGATTATTTCTTTGTGTTAAGCACATTCTAAATCTTCTCTTCCAGCTATTTTGAAATATACAATAAATTATTAACTGTAGTTGTCTATGTGCCATTTCAGCATTCCCACCATCAAGTGGTGAAAGTTCCTGTTTTATAACTTACTCATCACCATTTGGTATTGTCTATATTGTGTATTTTACATATTCTATTAGGTTAGTAGGATTTTTTCAATGTTAAACATACATGTACCTAATGAAAATCCAGTGGATCACTTTTTATATTTATTTTTAGATGCAGTTTCTATTCAGGTCTTTGCCCATTTTAAATTTAAATTGTGTGGTTTTGTTGTTGTTCAATTGTAAGGTAATTTGTATATTTATGATAAAAGTCCTTTTCCAAATATTTGATTTGCAAGCACATTCTCCAGATCTATGTCTTATCTTTTCACTCTCAGGTAAGGGTTTATTTTCAAAGGCCTAGGTTAGTTTATCCATCTATGAAAAGAGGATAATTGGCCAGGTGCAGTGGCTCAAGCCTGTAATCCCAGCATACACGGGAAGATCACCTGAGGTCAGGAGTTAGAGACCAGCCTGGCCAACATGATGAATGCCTGTCTCTACTAAAAATACAAAAATTAGCCGGGTATGGTGGTGGGTGCCTATAATCTCAGCTACTTCGAGGGCTGAGGCAGGAGAGTTGCCAACCCAGGAGGCAGAGGTTGCAGTGAGCCGATATCACACCATTGCACTGCAGACTGGGAGAAAACAGTGAGACTCCATCTTGGAAAAAAAAAAAAAAAAGAGGGAAAAGAGGATAATTGTAATTCTAAATTCTTGGAATTATTAGAATAATAATGTAGCTTGAAATTATTCCAGTATCTTGAATATGTATCAGTTTTGGTATAACACCGGTGAGAAAAATTTGTAGAGTGTTCTGTGTAGACCAGAAATCAGAAGGTGATAAAGGGACGATTAGATTCGAATAATCCAGAGAGATGAAGTGTATTTGGTATTCATCTCCTTTTGTTCTCTAGGAAGAGAAAATGGATAGATAACATCTCCTTGTGAAATTGGACAAAACGGTTTTAAGATACTTATGAAAGAAAGTTGCAAATGCAATCTCTCAGGTGATGATCTGACACAGGGCTGTGGAGGGGATGGTGGCCGCCGGTGGTTGCTGTCAGTCACATGGCTGATTGGTTTGGCCACTGTTTTGTCCATGAAAGATATTAGACTGTGATGTACTACATGCAGGCGAGTTTCTTAATCTCAGAGGAGGAGAGAAACACGAGAAAACAGAAGACGGGAAAATTGAAGATCTCCCTACAGCAAGCACCTTCCATGGAGGAGTGCTTGTCACTGAGAGACCTGGGATATGCAGGGAGTGGAGAGGAGTTTGGGGGATATTATCCATGAAAGAACTGATCCAGCCTCGTCGACCTCCCCATGGAAGGAGGGGTTAAATATTTGTTCACAGATAATGGTGTGTTATGTCAGGATTCCCACAGGTTTCAGATACAGTTTCTAATAACAAGTGTCATACTTTGTTTAGAACTGATTTTTTTGTATTTTCCCCCTCTAGGCAGCACCACAGAAGAATGTTCTCAGAATCCTTCCTGATCCTCTATGAGTTCCTGGTGTAGCTCCTGGAGAATAAGCTTGCGTGGGGAGGGAACCCTCATGTGCAGCCCTGAGGCTGTCCCGTCACCTCACCCACCACTGTCCTTCAGTCACTTCCTGAACACTTATGAGTTAACCTTCCTGAAACATGGGGTATTTGGCAGTGTCTTTCCCAGGTAAGAAAATACTTCCGTTCTGTTTATCCCTGCAGGCCCCTGTCCCTTTCTGGAGCACGGGTTGCAGTTGAGTGTGTGGTGGTGGATAATTAATGGGGGGAGGTTTGTGAGCATCTTGTCACCTTCCCGAGTGCACCCCTCATGGGGTTGACACTGACAAGCGCGCGATGGGCTTGCTCAGCTGGAGGATGACAGGTACTTTTGTAACCTGTGACCCCTGTGAGGCTCTCCCGCTGCAAGGCCAATGAGACTCAGGCCTCTGCCTAAAGTGCAGGAGCAAAGGATACAGTGCCCAACCCTGAGAGCTCCTTCCAGGTGCCCAACCACTTTGTAAGGAATCTTTTGTTCCTGCCTGGATCCCATGCATGTGTTTGCGTTTTCTGCACAAAGTGCTTTATCCAGAAACACTCCCCAAGAGCTTATAGTGTTTTGAATCCAACTGAAGGGCATTATTTACGAAGTCCCTCACGACGAGTCTCCACTGCTCGTTAAATGACATTAATTATAGGATTCACCAGAAGCTGCTGGCCTTTTAGTTGCACAGACCTGCCTCTACTCCAGCAGTCCCAATCTTTTTGGCACCAGGGAATGATTTTGTGGATGACAATTTTTCCATGGATAATGGAGGCAGGTGGTTACGGAATGAACCTGCTCCACCTGCAATCATCAGACATTGGGTTCCCATAGACAGCGTGCAGCCTAGATCCCTCACATGCACAGTTCACACTAGAATTCGGCTCCTAGGGTAATCTAATGCGCAGCTGATCTGACAGGAGGCGGAGCTCAGGCAGTGATGCTCACCCACCGCTCACCTCCTGCTGTGCAACCTGCCTTCTCTCAGGCTGCTGACCGGTAACTGGTTCACTGCCTAGGGGCTGGGGACCCCTGCTATAAATGCCTGGAGGCCTTATCCTCTTGGTAGGGGCATAGAAAACCAGGAGTCAGATGAGCTCTAAATCAATCTACATTTTATGGATTCTTGAGGAAGCAGTGAAAGGAGGAACGTCCCCACTCACTTTCCCTCTACCTGGCATCATTTCATGTAATGCACTGGAAGAACCCAGGGTGCTTCAAGATAGCTTAGGCTTGTTACACCAGGGACCACCAGAAAAGGAGACAATTAATGTGTCCATGTGGGTTCATCTGTTGCAAGTTATTTATTACTTCAGTGCAGGGTGTTGATCACAGAGAAGGCTGTGCGTGTCTTGGGCGGGAGTATGTGGGAACTCTGTTTATTCTAGTCAAATTTGCTGTAATCCTAAAAATGTTTTAAAATAAATTTAATGCAAAAGGACTGGCAAAGACATTTTGGTAGAAATGACGGCCACTTTTTAGAAATTATGTTTAGTCTTACCATGTGATCAAGCAATCCTGCTCCAAATTATTTATCCATTCGATTTTAAAATTTATGTCCTCACAAAGGAATGTTTGCATCAGCCTGATTGATGGCTGCCTTTCCCACTCTGTGAATGTTACTTATAGGGTGAAAGTTGAAAACATTATATCCTATATGATTGGAATGTATATATCTTTCTATTTCTACTTTTACTCAGTGACTTAACCCATCTTCTAAATAATTTAGACCTCATAAATCCTGTCATCTTCACAGCCCCAGCACAGCTGCCTCCTCCCTCAGGGTTTGTGACACTCTCAGGATGTGGTTTTCACACTGTGCCTCTCGCACAGTAATACATGGCCGTGTCCTCAGATCTCAGGCTGCTCAGCTCCATGTAGGCTGTGTCTGTAGACGTGTCCGCGGTGATGGTGACTCTGTCCTGGAATTTCTGTGCGTATATTGCTTCACCATCTTCAGGATCAACACGTCCCATCCACTCAAGCCCTTTTCCAGGAGCCTGTCGCACCCAGTGCAGGTAGTAGTCGGTGAAGGTGTATCCAGAAGCCTTGCAGGAGACCTTCACGGAGGCCCCAGGCTTCTTCACCTCAGCCCCAGACTGCACCAGCTGTACCTCAGAGTGGGCGCCTGTGGAGAGGACAGAGGAGTGAATGAGACACCACTTCACTGGACCCAGTCCCCTCATCAGCCCTGGAACTGAGGATTCTCTTACCTGTAGCTGCTGCCACCAAGAGGAGGAGCCTCCAGGTCCAGTCCATGGTGAGGTGCTGTGCTCTGGGGGCTTCTGTAGGGGAGGGATGTGGTTGTTGTGTGATGCTCTCTGGGCAAGGACAGATCTGTATTTACCTCGGTAGACACCAGTGCATTTGCATATTCATGAGGCAGGTATTTCATAGCTCAAGCCACCCCACCCTGCGGAAGAAGATAGGTGACACACGGCCCACTCCACAGTGGGATGCTGAGCTCCATGACCTGAACTTGTTTAATGATATTTGTCATCTGACATGCTTAGAAGTCCATGAAGACAGAACTCCTCTTACAGAAAACCAGAATCTCACAGGACATTGTCCTCAATGTGATTCCTTTTTCACATGGCACACTGACAACCTGAACTTTCCTGGGCCTTGCCCTCTGCACATCTTAACTTCTGGGATGAGTGTGTCTCCCGAATGTAACACCCAATGAATTAATAAAACCACCCCTCAATTCCTAACGATAGATACATTTGAAAGGCCTAGACATTTCTTCTTTTAAATATGGTTTGCATTAGGTAACGGCTGTGTATGCAAGAGAATACTAAAGACACATCAGTACTTGCTAAATTCTTATTTAAATTTTATGTCATTATTGCTTTGAAATAAGGAATATTCAATCCCTGAGAGAAAACTCCTCCCCAACCTCCTGTGCACCTGCCCCAGAGCTGGATCCTGTGCTGGGTGCATCCTGAGCAACCTCTACAGCTCAGCTAATGCCCTGCAGGGAAGTTCCTTTCTGGGCTCACAGAGCATTTTTCTTCCAGTGTCTCAAGCTCAATGTGACGTGACTGTGCCCTGGCTCAGAATGCTCCTTCAGGGACAGCAGCTACTTCTCACACCACTTCCTACACACCAAAGCCTACAGAGAGACCTCGGCACAGCAAGCAAGGAATGACTAAAGCCACCAGGGAACCCCTTCCCTGGAGCTCCAGATGCACTGATACGGTCCAGACACATGTCGAGTCCAGGAACTGATGGGGACTTTGGGGCAGACTTTTTTTTTTTTTTTTTTTTTGATTCTGTGGTCGAAGTTCACATCAGATTATAATTTTACGCACAAACCCTGTGTCTCAAGGTCCACCCCGCAACACACACACACTCACAGTGGCATATTTGCACAGTAACAAGCCTCAGATTTGCCCTCCTTCCTAGTGTCTTGTCAATAAAAAGTGCTTCCAACACTGGCCCTAGTCCTGGTTATGTTTGTGGTTGTTGTTTTTGTTGTTTTGTTTTTCCAAACAGAACTAAAGTAAGCTCAGTGACGCTGGAGATTCAGAAGGTGCCTTCACATTGTCTTGGCTAGTTCTCACCTGAGAACCCTGCAGATGCCCCGTGAGAGGTATATCTAAGGTCACTGAGGGAGGGGTACTGACCTTGTTCCCGAAGGTGTTGGTCTCAGAGGCTTTAAATCACTTTACTGTCTTTGACTTTTTCTCTCCCTCTGCCTTTGGTTTCCCTTAGTTCTAGTCCTTAGACAGAGTCTGTGTGTTGCCACACTTTTCTCTTTAATCCAGATTAATCCTGTTGGCGAGGAGGTGATGTGGTGAGCAGGGGAGCAGTATATATTCTTGAAATTGAATTCCAATGTTTTCTTGCTGTTCTTTCTCTATGCTGCTCCCCTTACAAGGAGTCTCCAGTGATACAGCTGATTTTCCTCTATCCTCCGCTCCCCCTCCTGGCTGAAGCATCCACAGATTATTCTCTTGAATCTGACCCCAGTTGTTTTATTAATTATACCCCTTTTCATGGCACAGGAAGGCTAAGGTGAAGCTGTCTTGGATGGAAAATAATCCCTTCCCCTCATATAGAATAAAGATCTTGAAAAGTATTTTTTATCTGTCGGGTCTGTCTGGAGAAAATTCTGGGGTATTTATCAGAGTATAGCTCTCCTGATGACGGAGCCATGAGGGAATCTGTTTGGATTCTCATCTTGAAAATCCAGAAGTTTCTGGAGGGAAATTCCGTCAAAGTGTGGGGTGTGCAGCCCCCCAGGAGATCTTACCCTTTCCCTATCCACAGCTTCCTCCAGGAGTTTATGGAATTACTATCTAACTGTTCCCACCAGCTTGTGCTGTCAACTGAAGAATCAACCAATTTATCAATTTAGAAAGGAGACTTTATTTCTGAGAAAGGGTTGAAGCTGTAGGATGGTCCCCTTAACAGGCTGGGAAGCAAAGCCTCCCACAGAGACTGTGAGCAGATACTTCAAGGGAGGGAAAGATGAGAAGTGAATTCATGCGAATGGATTGGCCAAGTGTACACGCTCAGCAGGCTATAGAAGGAGCTGCGGATATTCATATCGTGGGCAGGTGCTCATATCTAATAAGGAAACACATGTTACATGCATTTCAGGTGCGCTTTGGGGTGAGCACTTAAGAATTAAGTGAATTACAGTCGGGCCCGGTACATCAAAAGGGCTTTGTACAGGGTCCGAAAGACACACAGTACACAGCCTTTGTAATCTGGCCAGGACAATCCATGGTCAGTGATCTCTTATCAGGAGAAAGTTACTGAAATCAGTCTCTTCTCCAATCGAAGCTGTATTTATGGCTTGTGGAACAAGCGCACAGTTATGCAGTGTCTGGAGTTCCATGAGCTGCAAATGTTTTAATATTGATTATCTCAGTACCAGTACTGGTTTAGCTGTTAAAGAGCTCTGTGGAAGTTACAACATAATCTGTGTTTTAAGTGTAGGGGTGAGTGACTTAATCCTTGCCTGGTGTAGCATTAGGTCTCATTTATTATTGGTATCTTATTGCCACAGAAAGTTTGTTCCATCAGTCTGATGATCTCTATTTCAACGTCTTTGTAGTTTTGGGGTCCTGGTTTCCCTGCAATTTCACTTATTCAGCAGATCCAAGAAATCATTGATAATCAATTTTCCACGCTTATATTCTTGTAAGAATGTGGGTGATGACTGACATGCTCTTTACATATTAAAGCAGAAACCAGAAGTAGCTTCAGAGATCACCAGTGACCTGACACAAGCAGCAGGAGTCTCGTCTCATGAAGTATAAGTGGCACCACACAGATGCTGCTGAGCATGCAGGGACACAGAAGACACAGTGCAGGACACATATGAGATGTTTTTATGATTCTGGGGCTCCATCCAGGAAGCGGGAATTCAGACGGTCCTAGAGGGATGGACTCTTATCTCTCAGGTGACACTGTGTTTTGGAAGCTTATTTCCACTTCTGCACTGGATTCAGTAGCTGCACCTGGACCTGCACACCTGAAACAGAAACTCTCATTAATTAAGCACAAGACTCAACAATAATAAAACTGTCCCCAGGGAAGGTGCAGAGCAGGGTCCTCTGCTTTTGGGAACTTACAGCTGTGCACGGAGGGTCAGGAGTGTGAACCATTTCCTTCCACTCTCCCTGCCTGCTTCACAGACAACTGCAGGCAGGAGCTTTACATTGCTTTGTATCTAAAATAGTGATCGTTCTAGCGAAATGTAATACACAGATGAAGGAATGAGGAACCTACGCGAAATTAAAATCTAATACGTGAAATAAATATAAAGCACTATAAGACGTTATAATGTAAAAGACAACAAACAAATACTAAAAACCTGTGTGTATATATGTGTGAGACAGTATTCTTGTAAATTAAATCATAATTTGCTTATAACGTCTTTCAAGTAGGTACAGAATCTTTGTCTTTGATTCCCACAAAGATGAAGAAGGATCTGGCACCAGGACTCCAGGGTCATGCTAGTGATTTCCCCTCCTATCTCCTGAGGACACATTGCTTCCAACTCTGAGGATCAGGATGCTGAAATTGACATGAGAAGAGAAAGCTGGATTTTCTGTGGGACAGACTGGTGTGAACATAATTTTCAAGCAAATAAGTTTATTCTACCATGAGAGACACTGGCATCATGCTGACTGTGTGTGTTGCTTTTGACATGAACATTATTGTTATTAGCAATATTATTGGGTTCCCTGGAAAGTGATCAATTATCACAGAATGAACTTGAGTAGTTTTCATTTTAGTTTTTTCACACTTGCAGCTAAATCCACTGAGTGTTTGAGCCTGGACATTTCAGGTCATTGGTTACAAATGATGGAGTGGAAGTTTTCCTAGGAATTAGACGTGGTTCTGCTAAAGGATGACCAAGGATTTGGCCAGAAACTCCCCTCCTCATCTATCCCAGCACCTGCTCCTCAATGCACCCCTTCCCGCCTGAGTCCTGAGCATCTGTGGTCCTGGACAATGCATGTCTGGGGCATCTGCTTCCTACATGTGCATCCACAGGGCAGTCTGCTATCCCTAATTGTCGAGAGGGATCTAGGCCTGGATCCACCCAGGTGGCCCCACCCTGAGAACTGGGCTTCCTCCCAGCAAGGAGACAGGGTCAACTGAGTGCATCCACTTCACAGAAATCCTAGGAGGCAAATTCCGTCAAATCTTAATATGGTTTTGACATGCAATCCAGTAGTCATGCTTCTAGGTATTTCTCTATCTGACTTTAAATGTATGACCAGAAAGTATACATGAATAATCACAATAAGCTCATTCATATTTGTCAAAACTAGCAACACTCAAGAAGTTCTATAGGTGAGTAGATAAAGAATCAGTGGTAAATTGATAGAATAGTATTCAACAATTATAAACAAGAGCTATCAAACCATGAATATACATAAATGAATTTAAAATGCTTTTTTTTTTTTTTTTTTTTTTTTGAGACGGAGTCTCGCTCTATCACTGAAGCTGGAGTGCAGTGGCCGGATCTCAGCTCACTGCAAGCTCCACCTCCTGGGTTTGCGCCATTCTCCTGCCTCAGCCTCCCAAGTAGCTGGGACTACAGGCGCCCACCACCACGCCCGGCTAGTTTTTTGTATTTTTTTTTTTTGGAAAAACGGGGTTTCACCATGTTAGCCAGGATGGTCTCGATCTCCTGACCTCGTGATGCGCATGTCTCGGCCTCCCAAAGTGCTGGGATTACAGGCGTGAGCCACCGCGCCCGGCCTAAAATGCATATTGTAAAGTGAAAGAAACAAGTATGAAAAAGCTACATAATATGCTATTTCATTTATTTTATATTCTGGAGAAATCCAAACATATAGATTAAATACATCTGTATTTGCAAAAAATTTATGGAGATGACGAGAATGGGTAAAAATAGATTTCAAAGGGTGATGAAATTATTATGTATAATATTGTAATGGTAGATACATGATATCATGAGTTTATTGAAATCTATAGTATAAAGGTTTAATCCTAATTCACAAAAAAATATAAATAGGAAATTAGGAATTCCTGGATGGAATGCAGACTACATAGAAAATATCTAATGTCATTACAAATGTATGAAATCAAAAGTGCCAACTAGCTTCAGAAATTGTATAGTCAATAAGATAAAAGAATAAAGAAACTGCATGTCAGCACTGTACTCCAGTTGATGATGTTCTACAAAAGCAAACAGCTCACCCATTCTGGTTCCGCTATACAGAAATCCTGTAATTGGACACAAGGAACGGATGGTGTGTAGTGGGAGGAGGTTCCCCAAGGTTGGAGTGGGGGGGTTAGGGACAGGCATAGAAGGAAGGTGATAAACATTCATGAGGTATTAACTTAGGGTGGATATGTCAGTATGTTTGCAAATTTAGCATAATATGGGTACATAAACTGGATAAAAATAGTTTACAGTGTGTATGTATATGGGTGAATACACAAACATATACTTCCTAGATTCATTACCCGAGAGGTACCACAGGAAATGACAGCACAGTAATAAAAAATACACCCAGAATCAAGATTTGAGTTTGTAATACTATTCTATGAAAGGAGCCAGCATTTCTTGGAAAAATGGCTAATTCTAGGACTTGGAAAGAGAATATAGGAGAAAAGCCTACAAATTATTACGGTACCAGAAAATGAGAAAGGGTTCCAAAACAAAGAGTCACTCTTTTTGCATTTTTATTTTTCATTGGCAAATCTAGCTGGTAGTCTATCAATTATGTTTATATTTTGTTTGTTTTTATTTTTATAGAATCATGATGTGCATATGCAGTTTTGTAACATGGATGTATTTCATAATGGTGAGGCTTGGGCTTCTGATGTATCTATCACCCAAATAGTGAACACTGGAACCAACAGTTAATTTTTCAACACTCACTCCTCTCTCACACTCTTCTCTTTTGCAGTCCCCAGTTTCTATTAATTGCCTCTATGTCCATGTGTACCCACTGCTTACATTAAAATAATAAGAGAGAACAGGTGAAAGACACAATTTCATTTTTATAGCTGCAGAGTATTTCCTAGTTTATATATATTATATTTTATCTATATAACTGTCCATTGATAGGGAATTAAATTACATGACTTTTCTATTGGAAATAGTTCTGCAATAAACATAGGAGTGCAGAAAATTTTTTCTGCTTTTGAGAAATGTCTTCACTAACCCCTTAATGAAGTTATTTGCTTTTTCTAGTTGACTTAATTGAGTTGCTTGTTGATTCTATATATTAGCCCTTTAGAAGATGAATGGATTGCAAATATTTTCTACCATTCTGTAGGTTGTCTGTTCCGCATGTTGATTATTTCTTTTTCTGTGCAGGAGATCTTGAATTTGTCCCATTTATCTATTGTTGTTTTCATTGCATTTGCTTCTGAAGCCTTAGTTTTATTTTATTTGCCTAGGCCAAAGTCCAGAAGACTTTTCCCTACATTTTCTTCAAGGATTTTTAGAGTTTTCATTTATACATTTAAATATTGAACCCATATTCAGTTAATTTTAGTCTATGGTTACATAGAAGTCTTGTTTTATTCCTATACACGTGACTCTCCAAGTTTCCCAGCACCACTTATTGAATAGAGGGTTGTGTCTGCAGTGTATATTTTTGTCAGTTTTGTCAAAGAACAGTTGTTGTAGATATTTGCATTTGTTTCTGGTTTCTTATTGTTTCATTGATCTGTTTTGTTGTTGTTGTTTGTTTGTTTTGTATTGGTATCATGCTGTCTTTCTTACTATATTTGTGTAGTATAATTTGAAGTCAGGGAATGTGGCATTTTCATCTTTGTTTTTATTTGCTTGAGATTGCCTTTACTATCCAGCCCCTTTTTTGGTTCTATATGAATTTTAAGAATTTTTTTTCTAAATATGTAATCAATTACATTGCTTACTTGTTAAAAATTGCGTTGAATCTGTATAATGCTTTTGGCAGAGTATTAGTCCATTTTGTATTGCTATAAATTAATACCCGAGGCCAAGTGATTTACAAAAAAAGAGGATTGTTTGGCTTACAGCTCTGCCGGCTGTGTGAGAAGCATGGCAGCAACATCTGCTTCTTGTGAGGGCCTTAGGAGGCTTACAATCATGGTGGGAGACAAAAGGGAAGCAGGCTGTGTCATGTGGTAAGAGGGGGAGGATGAGAGGGAAGGAGGGCTGCCAGACTCTTCAACAACCAGACCTCACAGTAGCTAATACAGAGTGAGTGAGAAAGTCCACTCAGCCTACCCAGGTCCTGCAGACCTGAGCCCTGACATTTAGACTACAGAAAACACATTCTCTGTTTCTAGGGAAGAGAAGAAGAAAGGGAATTTCAAAAATCAAGTCTACAGGGAAGGAAGATGGATTAGCAGAAAGAGGGTCAACTGAATCAATCTGAGTCAGATGTGCCCAGTTTTACAAGATGAGGGGGAATAGCTGTGAAAACCATCAGGTTTTAAGGACCCTGGTCCTGGGTGAGACTCTCCCTTGGCTCCCGACAGAACTCAAAGCCTGTTCTAATCAGAGATTCCCATGGAGGTCTCTGCCCTGAGTCTAACTAGAAAAAACTCCAGATTTCCCTGAGATTCCTCAGGACTCTCATCCTGTTGACCACGAAAGGCTTATTTTTGCCCCCAAAGTAAGTAACACTGTGGCTTTTGTGGAGGTGAGGATGTGTCCTAAAAAAAAAAAAAAAAAAAAAAAAAACAGAAACAAAAAGGAAAAAAAAAGTTTTCATTCAGAGACGTGAAATGTTAGTACAGATTGTAAATCTGGAGACGTTCCCTGTGGAAATTTGACAATGAGGAGCCGCAGACCATGACAGGAAGCCAGGCCTTGGCACCGGCTCCTGCCCCGGAGACAGCCCCGAGCTCAGTGTCCGGGCGCCCCCTGGTGGTCACGGGGACCCCTGCAGGGAGGTTTGTGTCCCGGGCGCCCCCTGGTGGTCACGGGGACCCCTGCAGGGAGGTTTGTGTCGCGGGCGCCCCCTGGTGGTCACGGGGACCCCTGCAGGGAGGTTTGTGTCTGGGCTCACACTGACCTCGCCTCACTGTGTCTCTAGTACAGTAATACACGGCCGTGTCCTCGGCTCTCAGGCTGTTCATTTGCAGAGACAGCGAGTTCTTGGCGTTGTCTCTGGAGATGGTGAATCGGCCCTTCACGGAGTCAGCGTAGTATGTGGTTTTACCAGTGTAACTAATGTATGAGACCCACTCCAGTCCCTTCCCTGGAGCCTGGCGGACCCAGCTCATGTCATAATCACCAAAGGTGAATCCAGAGGCTGCACAGGAGAGTCTCAGGGAACCCCCAGGCTGGACCAAGCCTCCCCCAGACTCCACCAGCTGCACCTCACACTGGACACCTGCAAACAAAGAGACATCCTGGTCAGAAACTGCCACGCAAATCCACTGTTTCTCTCACTCATATGCACATTCATTTAATCTCTCTAATTTTCCATGAATCACCTTCTAAAATAGCAACAAGGAAAACCCAGCTCAGCCCCAACTCCATGGTTAGTCCTCTGCGTTCAGTGCTAATCACCCCGTGGAAATGCCTTGGAATCCAGGGCTAAGGCTCCTCTCTCAGAGCTACAGGACCAGGGTTGGGTTGGTTTTCATCAGTAGAAGGAGGGCCCTATTTGCATGTCTCCTACTATATAATGAGCCCTCGGGTGGGACTCTTGAGGAGTAGGCTATACCCAGATCAGAAGACAGTGCCCTGAGAAGTTTGCGGACAATGATGGTATTTGGAAAATACGCTGCCTTATTATGAAATTGTGCTGTGATAAACACTTTGCCTTGGTCACCCTATTTCATGTTTAAATATTCGTGTAAATTATGTTCTGTAGGAGTCAATATTTTCTCCATTTACAAATGTGGAAGTGAACCCACACATGGAGGGGGCTCTGTATGCATCTAGGAGCTCATGTATGGGATGAGTGAACCCCAGTATCTGACCCTGTGCTCCTCATCACTGGCTCTGACTGCTCCCTAAACCAACTTCAGTACAAAGCTGGATGTGCCCGGTGTGGTTTGAGAACCCACTTTCTGTAATAAGAGCATGTGCGATGTTGCTGCACTCCGGCACTCACCTGAAAATATGGGGAGAATTAGGATCCAGGCACATTAATTTTCAGGTACTTCTGATATTTAACATATTTTTCTGTCTTTCTATTACTCCTTCCTTAAGTTTCAATGTGTTGGCTTGTAATACATTTGATGAGCCTTAATCTAAAGATAATAAACTTCACATATTTAAAATGTCCAATTAATAAACATGATAAAAGTAATCATTATCAAGAAAGTTGACAAATGAATTCTTCTCAACATTTCCTCTTGTTCTGTTATATTCCTCCTCCTCTCCCCTTCCCTTCTTCTAGCATTTTCCCTGGTAACTACTGATCTTCATTACACTACTTTAGATAAATTTTTATTTATCAGAATTTATAAAAAGGGAGTAACATAGTATGTTTTCTTATTTGTTTGGCTTATTTTACTCAACATAAATACTTAGATGTTTTACGTGGTTGTTCTGTGTCTCAGGCATTAACTTATTATAAATGATGGGTAGTATTCCAGCGAACACATTTATCATACTTTGTTTCTCTAGTAAGCAGCGTAACAATATTTGCATTCTTTTATTACTCTGGGTTTTACTAAAAAATCTTCTACACAACTTGGAAATGGACATAGATGACTAATATAGTTACTTATTTTTTTACAACAATGACATCAACAATAACAGATAAACAGAGAAGCTGGAATTTTGTAATTTTTTTTCTTTTTTTCTTTGAGATGGAGTCTCAGTCTGTCACCCAGGCTGGAGTGCGATGGCACGAACTGCAAACTCTGTCTCCTGGGTTCAAGGGATTCACTTGATTCAGCCTCCCGAGTATCTGGGATTACAGGTGTCTGCCACCACGTCAGGCTAATTTTTAAAATATATTTTTACTAGAGAGTTTCACCGTGTTGGCCAGGCTGGTCTCGAACTCCTGACCTCAGGTGATCTACCTGCCTCAACCTCCCAAAGTACTGGGATTACAGGCATAAGCCACCGCAAGGGGCCAATTAAAAAAAAAAAAAAAAACTTTAGATACTTGAAGTTTTAAGGTAAACATCAAATGTGGAATCAAGAGGGAGGAAAGTTTTTGTAGAGGGTAAGAAAGGTAGGGTATGAGCTGAACTGAAGCAGAGTATGGCATTCAAAATGTCGTCTATCACAAGATATAAACACACATGTATAATGGATTGCTTGAAGTCAAGGGTGGAAAATGTGTTGTAGTGTGAATTTCTAAGGGACCACGGACTGAAGAGTTTTCCTATCCTCTTGACTTCCTTTTTGCAGACAGTCACAAAATCTTTCTGTCCCAACATGTGTGTCTGTGACACAATAGGAACCCATGAAATGTCAGAAAATCTCCCTTTATTCTATTGCTTTCCACCAATTTCACAATTGTCAGTTAAATAACATTTTAATCCACCCTAGGGAGCTGGACATGATTCTTTGGAGGAAGAAACAAGGTGAAGAGGCAAAGCCAAGCAGGAAAGAAAAACAACATTATCACTGGAGGATCTGAAGTCTCTGGTGGACACAGAAGAAAATACTTTAACTCTGACGTCCACTGCAAAATTTCAAATGTAACTCTGATAAGTTTCACAGACTCTTCCACAATAAAGGCCCGGCAAAGATAAAGTGTGGTCAAATACAGGTAGAAAATGCATAAAATCAAATAGCCAGTATCAACTGTCCAACCCAACATGTGTGGCTGTCAACAATGATTACATATATTAATGAGAAATACCAAAGTTGTAATAAACGAATGATCAGCATGAGATTTGTAAATGATGCAGATATTATAACTATTTAATTAAATAAGATAGGTAAAGGAACTATAATTAATATGTAAGAATCTCTTAAAGAAACTGTGGACATAATGTAGGACTAGACAGGGAACTGAGAGATGAAAACGCTAAGAAGGAATCAAATGGAAATGCAAACGAAATCAGAAGCAATGCAGTATAAACATTCAGCAAGCTTTGGGCACCCTCCTCAGCAGAGCTGGCTCAGCTTTTAAATGAAACCATGCACTTAAAATGTCACTAGATATTTCACAAAGTAAATTTCAGAGGAAAACAGAGTGAGGAAAGAAGCTAAACATTAATATCAAGAAGTATACTTTATGTACACTTTAAATCTGAAAAGGAGAAATTATCAATACAGAGAAAGTATTTGAAAAAATGATGGCTAAGAATGGTCCAAATTTTGTGAACGACACTGAACTACAGATCTGAGAATCACGGAGAACCCGAAGCAGAGTAAACAGAAACAGACACAGACACACATGCCACACACTCACCGTGGACACAGTGGTGCACAAGGAAAACCTCACACATCACACTCCACGCTCACGTTTGTCAACTTCATTATTTTTTTTACTTAGTTGTTTTAAAATTATTTGCATTTACAGTATTAAGTAGAAGTCTGAAATTAAAATATTTTAGTCTAATGGTAAGTCTGCCTATGCTTACCATGATCAAATAAACATTTTGGTGCAAATGAATGTAACTACGCTGTTAGGAAATTCACTATTTCAAATAAAAATGGTATTTTTTCCTGGCTCTGTGTTGAAGCATTTGTAATGCATGCCAATAAAATCCTTTTTAATTAAAGGGATTTTTTTTAAGTTGGCACATAATAGCTGTTTATATTTATGGGGTACAGTGTGATATTTCAATACATGTGTGCCATGTGGTATGAACAAGTCAGAACAATGAGCAAATTCGTGAATTCAGACACTAACATTTCTTTGTGTTGGTAGCATACAAAATCCTCTCTTCTGACTGCTTGTAAACATAAAATGTACGATATAGTGTTAGCTGTAGTCACCCTACTGCGCTGTAGGACACTAGAGTGTACCCCTCCTGTCTACCTGTAATTGTGCATTTGTTAACAAACCACTTCTTATCTCTCACTCTCCTCCCATTCCCGGCATCTCATAACCGCTACTCTCCTATTTACTTCTAGAATATCAACTTTTTAAAATTTCCACATAACACTGAGAAGGGCAGTATTTATTTTTCTGTGTCTGTCTTGTTTCACTCAACATAATGGTGTCCAGTTCCATCCATGTTTCTTAAAGTGGCAGAATTTCATTTTTAAGACTGAATAATATTCCATTGTGTAAATATATCACATTTTATTTATCTGTTCATTGTTGATGGGTGCATATGTTGATTTCATATCTAAGCTATTTTGATTAGTGCTGCAGTAAACATGGGTGTACATGTGTCTCTTCAATATTAGTTTTTTCTTTTAATTATTTAAATAGATATATACTCAGCAGTTGGAATGCTGAATTATGTGGTGGTTCTGTTTTTTCCCATGATGGCTGTACTAATTTGTATTTCCACCAGTGGCCTATAACAGTTTCCCTTTCTATGCATCCTGGTCAGCTTCTGTTACTTACTTACTTGCTTACTTATTTATTTAGTTAGTTAGTTTTGCATTTCTAACTTTCTAGCAAAGATGAGGATGAAAAGACACCTCATTGTGACTTTGCGTTTTCCTGAATATTAGTGATTTCTAGCAACAGATATATGTATATATACTAACATATCTATCTACCCTTTGCATGTCTTCTTTTGAGAGATGTTTATTCATGTTATTCACCCATTACTAATCACATTATTATTTGCAGTTGAGTTGAGTTTATTTTATATGCTTGATAGTAATCCCTTGTCATATGAATAGTTTTCAAATATTGTCTATCATCTGTAGGTTCTCTCTACACTCAATTGTTTCCTTTACTGTTCAGGTAAAACTTTCTTGATAGAACCTGGACAGGTGGCTGAGGTGCTGTGGGACACTGGAGGGGAACAGATGTACCCAATGTCCAGAACCAGGTGAGCTTTACTCACCATGTGGTTCTGAGTTTATGGTTTGAACAGATGCAAAATAGTTTGTCCAGGTCTTCTGGGGGGTAAAGAATTTGAAGGGAGGATGATATAACTTATTACTCAAGTAAATGAAAATGTCATAATTGTCCATATGTTCTTAAAGTGGAGTAGTTCAGCAGTGTGTGTTCATCCCCAGAAAAGAGAAAATTATGTCTGCTGTGAAAAGAATGTATAGATTTTGATATATATGGTTATTACTAATGACAATTGAGCCTGGGTACTAGGTCATGTCATAATGCTAGTGGGAAGACTTGGTAGAAGAGAAAGTGTCAACGCAACAAAAAAATGAAACATCAAAGATTTAAATGAAATGGTTTTGAATATTACTAGTAATGAACAGGCCAAGAAAATGCAGTTACCATGACCAGAAGAATAATTCGTGACAGCCTATGGGATTCATGTTGAGAAGATACAAAATGTCCACTTAATGGCTCATCACCCTCATATAATGGTTCAGAGAACAAGCTAAGAACAGAGTGTAACCTTAGAGCCAGTGGAGGCCAACATTTGAGAAGAGGGAGCGTCTGTGTTGGAATTGTGAGAAGTAGAAAACCTGAACTCTGCAGAGAAGCAGCAGTCATCAAAGGCAGTGCTGAGTTCACTTAAATACAGTAAAGACGGGTTTCTCTGCCCTCATT